GGCGTCTCATTCTAAATGAGATGTCACACGCACCTCTCTTATTGATAGCATATCATAGACAAAATAAGTGTGACAGTTCCTAATTAAGATGCAACAAATCTTATTTAGAAGAATGAACGAAGTCACACTAATGGCATTTCTATGATTCATATGCAACTAGTCTTATTTTAAAGTGTGAATGGAAATCTCACTAATGTTCTAACTATTTATTATCTCTTGTGAACAATAGAAGCACACATTAACGCTAAAGTGGCAAGTTTGCCTATCTATGTGGATTGTGACACTAATGTGTCATATGGCCTATGATTGTATTTCTACCCAACATTGTTTGTAATTGTGTGGCACACTTCATTAAGTTCTTGTCTATCTTATGCCCCGCGGTGTAGCAGATTAGAACCGAAATGTATGCTTGTTAAAGCATTATACTATAGAGCATGATATATGTTCACAAGAATAAAGTAATCACATGGTCTCGGAGCATAGGGACAATTTTGTTTAGGATAAGTGGTCTTGAGTACTAGCTATCGTTGACATCTTTTGTTCCTATGAATCGGTGGATTAAGGACTATGAAAATTCTAATGCAACACCAAGTGTTGAACCTCGATCTTTCGGTGTGATAAATAATGTGTGTGGATGTTTATATTGTTGGGAAATGTAGTAGAAAACAAAAAACCCGCACCTACAATCACCCAGGAACAATATGAAGATGCATAACAAGTTGAGATCAACGATCGTTACCGACTCCGGAGTGCAGCGGAAGAAGATGAGTTGGTGTGGATCATACTTGGAGTCCCTCGAACGTCGATGACGATCCCACGAATCACCCTCGAACAGAAGACCGAAAGCATGGCATCTCTACTTGGTTGCAAGTGTACAGTCTTCATGATCCGGCAGTGCTTCGCCGTTCAGAGCTAATCGTCGCCAGAGAATTAGAGAAAAGAGATTAGAACCACACGGGGCTTCTAATTATGAGGATAAGAGGAGTCTAGGGCTAGCCCTAATTAGTCGATTAGGACCAACTAGAACTAGTAGTGGATGAACTAGAGAAGGCTCCAAAACTTGTGTATCTCCAAGGACAAAATCCTCTAGTATATAACTATATATAGGTTCCAAGGGGAGGGAGGGGCTGCCACCAAGGAGGGAAAGGCCTTCCTTCGGGCGCCGGCCAGGGGAGGAGGAGTTGGACTCCTCCCCCACACTAATTCGGCCTCCTTCCTTGAGGAAGGGGGCACTTTCCCACTTGGACCTTTTTGGCACAAGTTGCCTTTCACCACTTGGCCTTTTAAGCTCTGTTGATATTAAATTACATATATAAATATTCTAAATATTTTCAGGCCATTAAATATATAATTTAAGATCCTGGAAACATTTTTCACATATATATATATATATTTAGCGGTAATACCCAGTATTACCTGATATTCACCGAAACCCTTCCCGTGACCCTGAAACGCTTTCGAGTCCTCTCAAAACTATTCTGAATATTCATGAAAAAATTCCACAAATATACTCTCATGACTCCCGTCCTACTAACACTCGGCAGAATGTGATTGCCTTAAGCCTGTGACCCTATAGGTTCAGTAACTCATAGACATGAACAAAACCGTTCGTTCAAAGACCGACTGCGAGACCATGGACATCCGTATTGATCCCTATGAGCACACGAATGATATTCGAGTGAACCTTTGGTTATCATATGATGTTCCCTTTCCTTCGTGATACTTCACAAAACTCGGGATGCATCGGTATCCTCCTGAGTCATCACCATGCTCACTATACCGAAATCCTTGTTACCGGTTTTGTTCTTCTTTCATGTTATTTTGTTCCGGCATCCCATGAAAAAGCCACCTGGGTCTGGCCAGACGATGATCAATGCCTTCACATCGAGAGGGCCCTAAAAATATCTCTTCATCATTGGAGGAGCAAATCCCCTCTCGAGCTATCCGGTCACTTGTCAAACTTTTCGTTGAACCTGTAAGTTGTCGTTATGATCACCGTGTTACAGGTGACATTTGAGCAACCCCATAGCCTCCCTTTTCTTTTTTATGTAATGTCAATACGATTTCATTTGTGTTCATGTTCACACGATAAGAAGTAACCGTGATACTCTCATAGTCTAAGGAGCAATATCACACGTTAACACTCCGTGTTATTACAATTGAATACAGACGATACTAATCCAATTCACAAGAAACAAGTTTGGATCATTTCAATATGATCGTTCTTCCAACGTCATAATCTCAGTATTGTTTTAGGACTATCGTTACACTTAAAGATATCTAAGATCCGGAAACATGATCACCAACAACACTTGAGCTAGTCCTAGAGGCACGACTAGAAACCTTTTATTTAACCGTTTATCATTCCACACGTGCATATAATTTTTCCACTAAATCGCATATTTCACAATCATAGCATTTATAGCATAGAATATAAACTCTATACTTATGAATACGAAAATATAATAATACAAATATTATTGCCTTTAGGGCATATTTCCAACATATATTAGTGGTTTGTCACCATATAAGATGAAGAATATGAGCTCTGGAACTTCATAGAGTTTTCTGAATAAGTCAAATATGGTAGGCTATAAATGATTTACAAAAACAAATGTTACTATGAGGAAAATTTCAAAAGGTTGGAACAAATACTTGTAGCCGAAGTGCCGAACAACTCATAATAAAGTTAGAAAACAGTTATTATAATGACATGTTTTTCTCCCATTTGGAATTAGGAATTTTCACGGCGCTTGTGTTATCCTTATGTGATGTTATTATGTTGAATTATTAATATTTTTTACGTAACTCCAGCAGGGGGTTTATTATCATGAAAGGAAGGCAATGTAAGGCATGTTGTCTTTTTTTAAAAAAGGGCGCTTTTATTACTTAAAGGGTTTAAGCATTACACCCAATCTCTGTATAATTAAGATGCACAAAATCAACAAAGTCCTCACACCAAGCCAAAATAAAAGAAAAAGGCGAAATATAAAAAAAGTGTGCCACATATTTTCCGCCCGCGGCTGGACGTGCGTTTGGTTTGCTCCCGATGTTTCGGATCTCAACCAAAATTTTGGTCGCGCAGTCATATTTCCGCCCGCGGCTGGCGATTCCCGTGGGGGTAGAATCCCTCGCTAATAAATTGACATGCCCACGATTTGGCAAGGCCAATGCAGGCACAATCTAAACAGCCCCTAATTGTATTAAGACTCATCGGGGTATAGGTCAACAAGAGTACAAGTACTATTTTTGATTGCATACATGGAAGAGTGCGAAAGAAACACATTGTGCACTAGGACTCTCACCTGATACTAAAGTTAAGCACACCAAGGTTGAACACTTTGATGCTATCAAAGGAACCATGTAAAACTAACTAGAACTTGAAGGCACACGATTGATGCACCTGCCCATCTTCAGATTGTAGAGTCATGAGAAGAAATCTTGATAGTCAGAGAGAAGAAATTTATAGTACACACACATCTTGGAGCATGCACTGTTTAGTGTACATACTCGATTAAGGCCCTGAGATGCACTTCTTACATACACAAAAAATTATGGAATGATATTGATCAACTCAAACTAAGAACTTGAGGTGGTGTGAACAAAACAACATCCGATATGGTCTCTTTGCATTCTCTTTATTCATGGGAGGTCGAGCGAGTTGATTCATTTTTAGTGGAGGAAATAGATTATGTGTTATTTCATATTTAGTTTTAGTTTTGGGTCACGACTTGCAAAAAAGGCATGTCACAGGTTCTAGCCCATATACACACATAACATTTTTAATTTTAATTTTTTGGTACACCACTACATAATCTGTAAGGGGTTTTATTTTTACTTTTTTTTTTTAGTTTAAGGACTGTGGATTCAAGCACATAAACCGCGAGGCCTATCAACGACATTCAATCATGTTTAGAGCCTCGCCAGCTCGGCAAACATGACCGACATGGCTACAAAACAACACGCTATGACTAGTCATTAGTCTGTCACATTTCGTCACCCCTCAGAGAGTTTGCACCTGCACACAACATACACTCAAGGTTTGTGACCTGCACGGGTTTTAATTGAAAGAACACGTGCGAACCAAATTAGGAGTTTAAGTCCTAGTTTTGTTACAAGTGCTGGCACTTTTCTAGATTTATTTTAGACGTTTTGATGATGTGCTTTTAGTGAAGAAATGACGTTTCCGTCGATCACAAATGCATATGTGACGACTTTGTCAATCTTAAAATAGCGTGCCGTTTCAGTCTTTTGAAGATACTCATAGACATAAAATGTATGGATGTGTTCATAGAAATAAGGGCAAGTGCATGTTTCTATGGACCAATATTGTGTATGTATTTACCATTAATACTACATTCACGGGCTCATTAGAGGCCTTTTACATGATAATCCTTCTAAACTCTCCACCACCCTCTGATTTTTTGGGTGGGCCCCTATTCTAATCTTTTTTAATTAAATTAGCGTAGCTAGGATATTTACTATGTTAACACGATACAGATACAAGCGCTCATACACATACGTGCATACACTCATTCTTTATGAACGCACACATATTTTACCTTTATGAAAACCTTCGAGAGACTAAGTCGGCATGTAAACACTATAAACCCTGACGGGCTGGGTGCCTCGGTACCACTGTCCATCTAACCATCCACCCATATATTCTTAGTTCCCAGTGTGTTAGTATGTTAAAGAAAACTGAAAGAACACATCAAAATCAAAAAAGAAAAACTCGAAACCACGGTTTACTTCAACCTTGCTCACCCCGTGCGGCTGCATCGCCCGCCGGCCGCCGCCTCTGCTGCACGCGGCACGCGTGCCCCGCCGCCGCCCTCCCCTGTTCCCCTCTCCCCACCTACTGGTTGCTCCGCCTCCACGTGACCGCGTCGTTCCGCCTCGGCCTAGGCAGTGTTCTCCCCCTCCGGCCAGTTCCCGCCTCCGCTTCGACCGGCGGACTCCTGCCGCCGCCGACCTCGTGTAACGCTGGGTCGAGATTGATGCTCGCCGAGTCACGCAGCGACGCAGGCGCAACCGCGGCCTGCTCTCGCAGCTCGCCTACTCGTGGCTCCTGGGTAATTTCTAAATTTGATGCACTGAACTAAATAGAAGATGCTTATGTCAGTATGTTTAGTCCTAATTCTGGTACTGGTTCTCTAAAAAAATTCCGGTGCTGGCAATGTCAGATTTCTAAATAAATTGATGCATTTTGTTATCAATTTCATTTCTTGTTATAGAAATAGAAGATGAAGATATATTCATTGTGCAATCCAGCCATATCTTTTTTCTGCTTTCAGTGAGGCATTTTTTTGAGGTAGTTATAAGCGCTTAGCTTTTGGCCTGTGGTTTGCTCCAAATCCCACTGGTCGTACCTGCATTAGCGTTTCCACACAGCTTACTGTGCCGATCATATTTAAAATAGAATTTCCTTTATTGTAGTTTTTTTCCTTGATTCTAGCTCATGTTGAGTCTAACATAAACATAGGTAAGTAAAATGTCCCTTCAGTTCCTTAAGTTGTGCGGTGCACTCACTTTAGTCCTGGTACTCTAAATTCACATATTTGGACCCCCTAAACTTGCTAAAGCGGTGTGCCTTGGCCAAAAACTGCTTACAATAACACTGACCATGGCCAATCACGCGAGGGGTTGACCGTGCCACTTGGTTATGTGCTCACTAACAGTGAACCCCGTGTTCATGCATGTGTATCCGTGACTCCGTGTGCAAAATAGGTGATTTGTGCCTGCCCTTGAACGGTGCTTCACAGAACTATTCTCCGTCACACTGTCACCATGTTGCTACAAAACTGTATTTATCCTTTTGTACAGTATAGACAGGGGTCGAGCCAGTATATATGCATGGGGTGTGTAGGGAGGGGGGTGTTAGGGGTCAGCTGGTCATGGCTACTGTGAGGCTTAAACAGTCGTCACAATCTGTCAGATTTGAAAATTTTACAAGCCATTAAAATTCAGGTTGAAGAAATTCAAAGCGAGAATTTCTAGTGATATTATCATCAATATTTGTTGTGCAGGGCCCTGAGCGTGTGTTTGATGAATTGACTAAGGCGCTGAAAGATCCTGCAGATTTTGTTGATTTTGATCTGCCATCTGCGTTGAAAGAATGGAAGCTAGGCTACTATATACCAATTAAGCGGAGTATCCTTGCCAATCATTTCTTGAAACCTATCTACTTCTCGAGTTTTCAGAGCAGCAATCATGTGCACCATTGCATGATTCAGTTTAGTAAAGTGTCGGGTTGAAGTTTCCATATTCTGTTATGTTGTGAAGTACGATTCATCATATCTTTCAATGTATTTCACCTGGCAATCTGGATTTGTGATACACCTATAACTGTAATGTGACATGCAAGGAAATCTGATAACATAGTCTTTGAAGTAGAAAGCAACATGGTATGGGAGTGTTTTTATGTTTTGCAATAATGTGCTTACAAGGATGCATCGCAAAATGGCTTAATGTATTGTTGGTTCTCTCA